TTTGGCTCCTACTAGGCAATCTGTGCTGGAAGTCCCATACCTCTACATGACAGTGTAGTTAGTGTGATGATATCTAAGTAAATAAATGGAAAACAACCTTCACTATCCCCAAACCCAATTGTGGGTGCCAGCAGCTAAGATTTGGACAGCACCAGTTGGAGTAGCATACTCAATGCCTCCAGCCACTCTGATTCATTTAGAGAGGCTTTCAAGAGTTAAGGCTATGATGCCCTTCTGTCATTTGTCTCATAAACCAATATCTCTGGCCCTGTGGAGTGGCAGAAAGGTGTCTGTTACAGGCTTTTATGGAAAAGAAAACACTGTAGATGAGTTGGAAAGAGGCAAGAAAATGATCTATGATGTGCCTTGTCGTTCCTCGTTATAGCTGCTTGCTGGTTGGGGACATCCAGTCTCAGACTCCCACTTTAATCCAGTCAGTTAGACCCTCAATGAGGTCTACAGCCATGTTGAGTGTGGGATATCTACCTAGGCTGCTAGTCCTGCAAGAGCACAGGGAAGCAGCATCAGTGGAATAATGGTTTCACTTTGTATTAAAACTTACAGGAACTTATTTCTTTCCATGAAATGGTATGGTGGGAGGCTTGGTAGACACTTATGTACTGAATACAAAATGATGCAGTAGTAAAGCGGATATTCTGTGAGAGAAATGTTTCTACAGTTGTTAAAGGCCTTTTTTAAAAAAAGATGAACTGAGTTACTTTGTGCATGCACTAATAGCCAGAGAGACACAAGCAGGGTACAATGAGGGTGGTCGTCTGCACCACTATTGGCTGTAACAGATTGCAGTCACATTTTTGAAAAAACATGATAGAGTAATTAGCCTTTAATGCAGACTCTCCTTGCTCAGTAATCAATCTTAATTCTTTCACTGTCTATAATGACAATCAACTATTTAAAATACAGGCAGAATAGCTTCATAGAGGCCTAGAATCTCAACCATAGCAAAATTTCCATTGTAGGATTGGTTTAATTCAGATTTAAGTTTTCAGCATGTCCAGTCATGCTAGGTTTGTTTATACGTTACACCAAAACAGCATGTCTTCACAAGCAGCTATCAGAGATGTTCTCTTGTGTCACTTTATTTAGTAACTCAGTTTTACATCAAAGATCAAGATCAGAAGAGGGAGAAAAAAAAATTTTTTTTAAGTATTTAAAGACAAGATTAAAATCATGTTCTGTTAAACAAGGCAGAAACATTAAATCCTATAATTACATCTATTTTATACAGTATAACTTGCATGAAAAGTGCTTTTCAAAACTATAAAATAAGAGACTTTACAGGGCAGAAAGCATGTCTTATTCCAAAAGACATTTCCCATGAATTATTGGTACTGTATCACTGACTAAAGAATGAGACAGCATAAACAGTGTAGTTTTTAAGATTCGTATCTTAAATGTAGGTTATGGCATAACGGAATTTTTCTTCTCTTCATTGCAGATGCAAAGCAACCATTTTACCATCTGAGTCCGGTTTCTTACTTTGTGCAGAAAATATCTTAATATACTGCTCACCTTCTCATAGATCTAGGCTATGTAACTTAGATACATTTAAAAAAAAAAAAATCAAACTGCAAAGTATACTTTGACCAAGCAAACTTCACAAGACTAATATTCATGTTTATACTGATCAATAAAATTTCTATGTATGAATAATTACCACTGGAAAGAATAATCATCACCAAAATTAGCATATACATTTTGGAAAATATTTGAATGCAGTGGAAGGATACAAGGAAAATATGGAAACATGTTTTCTCACCAGTAGGTTTTGGGGTGGGAAAAGGCCACAAAGATGTTGGGGCTAGATTAATTCATCTATCCTTTAAATTAACTACTACATAAAATAATAGCTTACATGGGACTAAACTTTGTAAAATCTTACAAATATTGGGTGTAGCTAGTTTTCATCTTGTATTTTAAAGCACTATGTGCATAAACTTCATATCTCGGTTAAAATGAAACCGGTTAGCAGTAAAGAAAGATATATGAATGAAAAGTATTATTCAGCGCAGCTTCTCTATGGTTCCTTTACACCATACACTGCTCTCAACGTTATAATCAATAATCCCCATGTTACTACCATGTCTCTAACATGCAAGATGCTACAGTGGTTTTGGGAGTGGGTACATATAGTGCAATGAATGGCAGGATTATTCAAATATTTGATTCCACCTATGGCTGATGTACAAAGAAATGTACCCCACATCTGTCTAGCAGCAAAACAGACCAGTTGAACCCTTCAGAGCTACAACATTACATGCAGCCTTTTAGCCGCCTTATAATGTACGCACAGGACTTGTACTGTCTTCCCAGTCACTGCTTCTATCGCACAGTATGTAACGTGAAAGAAATCTGAGTTACTGCAATTGCAAAATCATCCTAATGTTAAAGTGACAGTTTTACAATTTTCTATTCCATATATACAGGGGTTTTTTCTTTTTACAAAGCTAACATCCCCCTCATTATTAATTGCCATAAAAAAAAAATCAGTCATCTCTACAGAATGCCCAGCCAGAAATCCATTTCAAAAGATTAATAATTTAATGTTCATATGGTTTAAGGGTGGGATAATTATTTATTTTACTTGTAATCTAGGAGCAGTGGATCATTCAAGTATCAGTAATGTTAGTCCTTAAGTAGTTAGCTCCCCTGTAGTGCAAAAAATTACTACAACCGAAGGAAGATTTAGCCATCACAGATCCTGAGGTTCTCATGTGAATTCTGAATTCCTTCTCTCTCCAGGCTGTCCCAGTCCTAGTAGTCTTTAAGCGAAATCAAAAATTAAGTTCTCAGTTCAGTTTTCTAAAAGGAACCAAACATATAATTAGTTTAACCCCACTTCCTTAGCTTTTGAAAAAAAATTTAGTGGTAGAGCCACATAAAACTTACTTATGTAAGGACTTTTCACTTAAAACAGACATGTTGTGAATATAAGCAATTAACATTATGAAACTACACATTAAACCCCACAGTTACTTGAAGTTAGGTATAATGTTCTCCCTTTATTCTTTTTGCATACACCATATATTTCTTCACGGTATACATGTGTATATTAAACAGAAAAAGATGATCAGGTTTAAGAATGGTGCACGGGTGCTAATGGTCAATTGTTTTTCAAAGTGATTAGGTCAAAAGTTTATCTTAGTTTACTGGTGATCAGTCTGGGTGCTTTAACCAAAAAAAAAAAAAAAAAAAAAAAAAAAAACACTAAGCAGGTTGTTTTTGTTTTTAATCATAATCCATACATTTATTATATTTGGCTGTAACTATACCTTAAAAGAATCTGACACTGTAGGAGATCTCTCCATTAAATTAAAACAAAATACAAAAATAATATGAGGCACAATAGCAGTACATTTTCTCCTCCATTACCACATAACTCAACAGTAAGCGTGTGCGTGCGCGCACACACACACACACACACACACACACACACACACACACACACACACCCCTCACATTTCCACCAACCAAAAGTAAAAAAAATCCCTTCCAAAATCCCAGCCACCTCTGTGCTCCCAAAACAGATCGGCTTTGCAGCATACCTGGAAGATCAAGAGATTCAGGTAACTTCTGAATTCCAAATCCTTTGAGTATAAAAATGCTACCATTATGCAGCATGTCCATCCCCTCACCACACTGTGGCTAAGATCCTCAGCACAGATCTTCTACATGGCAGTGCACTGCTCTTATACTAAACAGATAGGCTGGCCACTTTACTTCATTTGTTTGGTTTTGTTTTTTAAATTAGTATAAAGATAATAGAACAAAGCCTGTGGTCAATGATGTTAGGGGAGTGTAATGCCAGTGTAGTATACTTATATTTGAGGAAATAGGATCAGAAAACCCTTAACTGGCAGTATCCATTTCAAGTTTGTGCTAAAATGTATGAGCAATGGCCATTTTTCAAAGTACAGATGTAGTCTGATCAAAGAATAATTTAACACAAATCTAGTGAGAGAGATCTGCAGAAAGATGTGGAATAAAAAGAGGATAAAGGATAACACCATCCTAAGACAATGGAGTCAGCAGTGAGGTCTGAGTCTGGATCTAGTGTTTAGAAAACACTAACTTGAGCTTTCCATGCTTAGACAGAGAAGGGAAATAGAGGAGATTAAGTAGGGTTTGAAGGGTGCTCCTCTTAATTAAAGCAGCACTACTGTCATTTAGCTAAAGGAAGCAGAAAAGAAGCCCAAGATCACTTGATCAAAACAGAACAGACAGGAAGGTATTCAAAACATTGAAAAATATGTACTGGTTATCAGTATAAAAGTAGTAATCCAGGTGCAGATGAGATGAGAGTGAGAGAAAGTAGCTAGAATAGGAAACTGAACATTGAACGCACTGGAATTCTGTAAAGGAACCATCTCCATTTACAGGGAGAAATCTGTTTGCTAGGCAAGAGCAGAACAACAAGAGGATACCAGAGACTCCTGCATAACAATGGAGGTGGTTCAGGAGGATATCAGTGGGCCACAGAACCTAAGGATGTCAAGCAGATGGGAGCCAGCCAGCCTCAGACATATAAGGATACTCACTGGAGGTGGTATGTTGTTTCATTTTGCACAAGGCTTATGGTAGCTAATTTTGAATTTCTTGCTGAACATCCATTCTGTTCCTCTTTGGGAGCAAAATCACATATCTTCCTATTCCAGTCTCTTCCAAAGGCTCTGGTACACGGTTAGGTTGAGTACCTCATCCTTAGCACTGGGAGTTTCACTGGTACTTAGAGTGGAACTTTCAGCAGGTTACATCCTGGATAGTGAAAGCTCAAGGAAATGTAGGATTCTTTAGGGGCACTAGCTATAAATCTACTTAATGTTTTGACACTGCCCATGTCCTCTATTCATGTTATACAAGCCTCGTGCAATGTAAGAATATGTTCATCGTTGTTTATGAATGCAAAATCTTCTCATCCCTATGAGTAGAGTAGTGTACTGTCTAACAAATGAAAACTTAAATATACAAGCACATGCTCTTTTGAGTAAAAGTATACAAATAAATCTTCACCTTCGCCTTCTTTGAAAGTATACATGCACCAACCACTGGGCAACGAAGGGCCATACAACAGCAAAGGCTAAAGTGCCAGGAGAAATATCAAAGGGCCACCATGACGGTCTCTAAGCAAAACAAAATACAAATTGCGGTCACCAATTTGTATCAGTACATTACATGATAGTACATATACACACTTTAAATACTTCTGGGTCAAAGTGCAAAAAACTAGAAACTTGCATAGCAGAAGGAAATAGTTTACACTTCATTTTAAAACTGATTTATTGAATCATTTCTTCAGAGACTAGATCATAAGAGCTCTATTTTACTCCTTCTAGTTCAAGGGGAAGGCAAAATTTAAAGCATGTAAGAAATCTAAAGCCATTTTATATTGTTCCAAACACTGCCTTTTACAAATATGGAAAAAAAAAAATCTTACCTTAGCAGATGAGGCAGGTTGTAAATTTGACTGTAGCGTCACAGATCTTGCCTTTAAATATAAACCAAGGCTAGTAAGTATCAAAATGGTACACTCTGACCTCAGATGGAAATTAACATCAATTTCTATAGGAATGCATTGACTTGCAACGGAAGGACCAACTAATATAGTTGACTTAATGTGTAGAAGTGATACAAACTCCATTATGGTGGAGACTAGATACAACTACGCTTCACAGTTCAAAATAAAAGATTTGAAAATTTCTTTAATAACTTAGATTATAGACCTAATTTTTACTTTATCTTAAAAAGCATAGAAACTATCCAAAAATATACCCTTGAGAGAGCTTTTCAAGGCATAGCTAGTTAAGCAACATGGGTTGATTTTTCTTTAAATATAACTTTCCAGGAAAAAATAGATAATCTGGACAAATTTTTACCTGGGAGGCTGTCAGTGCCTCCAGTGTATGCAGTCTCTGAAGGACGTTCTGCATGTCTTCTTGTAACCTCATGAGCACTACTGCAATTTGTTCATTAAGGCTGCCTCTTGGTGCTCTGTCTGACCCCCAGCGTTCTCCATCCCCTCCACTGCCCATCTGTCCACCTTGAGCACCATCACCCAGAGGCTGCATCCTATGCCCTAAGTTTTTGAGGGGAAAAAACAAAACAGAGAGAAGCTATTGCCTCTACTGAAAATGGTTGGTTATACTGCTTTATCATTTCCCACTTCCCCAACCAAGGGTAACACTTGTATCCTCTAACTCTAAATTCTCGTACAAAAGAACCAAGATGTTATTACAGCATGTGATGCTATAGTAAAGGGTCTGTAACTATAAACGTCATTTGCAGGATCATCTTCTTTGATTCCCATCAGTCAGCTCAACAGTGATGAGGAGGCCAGATGAAATCTTTCAACCACTTTCTGTCTTTTACCAGCTTCATGACTTTGTTTATATTTAAACCTTTTCAATCTATGTCACTCTTCACTTTGTCTATCCAATGCCTCCTTAGTCTTCTTCTATTTCGAATTTCTTGCGTTCAGGTATGTATCGCCACATCTGGTATCCTTTCCAGGTCCATTCTTGACACATCTAAGACCACAGTGATCTTTCTTGAATCTTCCATAACAGAGTCATTTCTGGCCCGAGCCGTTTTCTTATCACTTCATTTTTCTTTTTCTGCAGTCTTGACACACACAGTATTCCTCTCATTATGTTTGTCGGCTTTCCTCATACTCCAACATTCTGACCAATACAGTAGTATCAGCATGACAGCTGCCTCATATATACGGTCATATTTTTATCTAAACGTCTTTTGCCTTCCAGATCTTGCAGAATTTTCTAAATGCAGTAGTGGCTAGTCTCATTCTTCTTTTCATGGCATCTTTGTGATTTCCATTCTCTGATATTAGTCCTCCAAGATACACAAATGTTTCCACTTGTTCTAGTTCTTTGTTTCTGATTTTTATCTTTACCTCTTCTTATCTTCCAATTGCCATAGTTTTTGTCTTCTCCATGCTTATCTTCAATTTGAATTTTCTGCTTTCCCTGTTTACCTTGTCAGTTATTCTTGAAGAATTCTCCTTGGTCAATATCATCTGCAAATCTAGGGTTATTCACTGTCCTCCCACATAACATGACTCCTCTAGTTTAATCGCTCAGTGCTACAGCCTTTACTGCTTCCAATACTAAGTTTAACAAATCTGGGGATGGAGTGAGACACAGATACACATTTACACTCATCCTGATGACTTGATATTCATGCTTACATGATTTGCAGGCTAGTTATAAAGAAACCATATAGTACAATGCTGGGTATGAAAACTGCATACAGATTTCAGCAAAGATCCCTAAGCTAAGCAGTGATCCTTCTGCCCAGTTTAACAGAGACAGTGAGGCCCGTCCTGTTATCAAAGGTAGGTGAGGAAAAACTAGGGAAGTCTTTCACATATCCAAATGGAATGTAGAGGACACTTCGGGACAGTGAGGAAGGCAGAAAGGGGATGAAAAAGAGACATTTGCATCAAACTTAATTTTCTCTTTAAATTTTTTGTGCTTAGTCTATTGAGGTTCTGTTAGGAAGCAGCAATCAAGAAAGGGGGTAGGATAAATAATCACATACCATGTCCATTCTAGTTTTTCAATCTAGAGATAGTGTTAGGATTCTTTTTAAAAATCTCTGCTAATGATAGTCTGTAGTGCCAGTTGGAAAAAAGGAGAGAGCCAGCTGTTGTGCTTTATTTTTTTTAAAAAAAACAAAACCACATGACTATTATACTAGCAGCAAACCTCAGGAAGGAATTTTCACATATTGCATCATTTGTTCATTTCACAGTGTTTTCTAAAAACCTGTAATTATCATTCATAGACATTTCCGATGAACAAACTGGCATTAACATTGGCCACATTTAAACCAATGGCAGATATTTGAGTAGAAATGCAAGTTTTTAAAGAAGAAAAAAGAGTGCTGCTTCCATATCAGTTCTCAGTATTGTTAAAAATCAACACAGGTAGTAAGAGGTGGGGGGGCGTCCCTCATATATTGAAGATTTTGGCTACTAAATAACTGCCTCATCTCTTAGTTATTTAGGCATTATATTAGTATAAAGCAAACAGCTATGGCCAAAGACTGACCAAATTAGATACAATACCAAAAATGAATATTTTAATGAAATGCTCCATTCTGATACAGTAAAAGTAAAAATACTTTGATGCTTAAAATGTACCTTGTAACTTGCAGAGAAACTCTCCTTTCTCTACATTTATAAATCTGGTTTGAAGATGAAGTGAAAGATTACACTAGTAAAACAGAAGGGTGCTCTGAGTGATACTTGGAATTCAAGATAAGCCAAACCGGAATAGTCCACTATTAAGCTCATGAGGCTGACTGAAGCACTCTCCAGTACAAGAACACTCTTTTCTGACTCTTATTATGAATAAAATAAAATAAAAAGTACTCTTAATGCAAAGGTTAATTGTTACCACTAGAATTTAGGGGTGCAATATTTATTTATCCAGTTATGGAAGAAGTGGGATGAAAACGTTATACAGCATTGCTGCCCTAATGTTCAATCATAGAATCATAGAATATCAGGGTGGGAAGGGACTTCAGGAGGCCATCTAGTCCAACTCCCTGCTCAAAGCAGGACCAATCTTGACAAATGACTCAGCTGATCTATATGCGGAAGTATAGTGAGAAAAATACAAATGATGCACACACAGTACCTCTCCCTCTTCTGACTCCATGGAAATCCACCTTTTCTCCGCCTTTCTTCTCTTTGTGAGGGCCTCCATCGCTGCCTTTGCCATCTTCTCCCCCACACTTGACTTCACCTTTTCCTTCAACTGCTGCCTCTGTTATATCCTCAACTCTAAAATTCTCAGAGGGCAGGTGAGCATGCTCAGGAAAACCAGCATTTTCCAATAGATGACTGTGATCTACTTCCAAGAAATGGGATGAATGCTGTAAAGGTCCTTTGGCTGATGTAATCATTTCCAAGGGCTACAAATTAACAGCAGCATCTAGTTAATCTTAAAGTATGTGTTCTGTAAAATCTGACAGTTATCAAATAAAAGATGAAGTGTCCTCTATCCACTTAAAAAAAAAAAAAAAAAAAGCTTCCCCATTGTTAAGGTTTTGCTTTCAATCGAAGCAATGATCACCCTACAGGATGTTTTTAGTATTTTCTAGATGTCCTTTTCAGGTTAGAAAGACTACTTTAGAGGTAAGAGGAGATTTACCTTAATATACCTGTCTGTAAAATGGGGATAACTTGTTTATCTACCATCTAAGAGGTACTGAGGTTCAGTGTTTGTAATTTGTAAAAAGCTTTAAATACTTAAAGCATTCTAATTAAATTATAAGAATTATTTAAATTCCAAAACATTCCATTTGGAAATAAAACAAAATGTATGTGCCTTCTTTTAGTTAGGCTTAGTTATTAACTGTTACAATATTCATCAATTTTTATCTTCAAAACATTGTTCAAGCTGTAAATTGAAAGGGAGGTTATTTTTAGATATTACATTATTAAATATTATATCTTTGTAATTACTTAAAAACTAAACTTCAAAAAACAAACTGGACACTATTAAATTTCTCCTTCTAAGACTAGGGAATTCTGATATGAAAAAGTGCCCTGACTTCAGTTGGCTGGCCATGCAAATCAGAATGCAAATCACATGAGCCAGCTTGAATAGGCAGCAATTAAATTGCAGGTATATCAGGACATGCACTGTCATTCTGTTTAGGAGTATTTGGCCATCAGCTTACACTTTTCACAAAACAATCGTTGCTAATATCCTTTAATCAACTATCCTCTCTAAATTTGCAATACTATAGGATTTAGACTATACACATGTACACCTGCTGAAAGGCAAGCCATGATGATAAAGGCCAGAGAAATGGATAGCAGATACAAACTCATTCCCAAGTTCATATGGCAGTTTGTACAGATTCCTCTTTAGACATGTAACGTATCCTGTCCAGTTTGAGGGGAATGTTTTACTGATCTGTAGTTGAGCCCTTTGACCTACAGAAGCACATGAGCCAAACAAAAAGGCCAATGCAGTGTGATATTACCCCAAAAAATTGGCTGGAATTTTTTTAAAAACTGGTTCAGAACTGAACTCAGGGTGCCATTCATCCATGCACATCTTCTGTTGTTCCTGTTTATATAAACAGGAGTTGTGAAACTCATTACATTCCACTTTAAAAATTTACCCATTAGTATGAAACTTCAGGGGTTTTTTTTACCTCTTCTTGTCCAAATTGTTCCATAGAATCACAAAAAACTTCACTGTCTGAATCACTTGTCAAGTGCTGAATTCCTGAGACCTCTTCAACACTGTCTTCATTTGCACCTATACATAATCGATACACGCCCAAACAATAAATACAATAAGGCCAATTCTGACAAAGAATAAGGAAATGACTCAATATTCAAGTGAGCTACACTTGACACCATTTTGAATGTGGTAATCTTGCACCATAGAGTAAAGATTAAGAATAAGAGTTACATAGTTACAGGTTATAAAACTACTTTTATTGAAGAGAAAAAAATAAGTTCAATAACTGGATGCTGCTTCTTTGAGTAGATGCAGCTGTGTATTCCACTTAGGTTGTGCACATTGGGGCTGGAGAATTTTACACAGCAATACCCATAGAGGGGTGGTGCTAGCTTCTCGTGGCCATAGCCCCTCCCCTGACTAGATGAGTGTCCCAACCATGCTCTGCCCTGACCCCCCCTCAGTTCTTTCTTATTGTCCGTGGCTGGAGTCAAGGCTCTGAGGTTTGCAACCTCACCATACTCTATTCAGTGACTTCTTTTCCTAGTAGTATATAGTTCATTAGTAATCCTAGTATAGGATTAGTTAGACTTAGTGTTACTTGTAGTTCCAGTGTTCCCTCATGATACCCTCACCAGGGTTTAAACATGGTCCGTCACATGTGTGGGGGCAATCCCCAATAATGAGCAAGCGGTGCTTGCTGTGTCTAGGTGAAACCCACATCAAGAGGTGGTGTTCAATTTGCAGATTGTTCACGAAGCAGACTGAAGTGGCGAGGAATCTTCATCTGAAGCAGCACCTGCTCGAACAGGCCATGAAGTCTGCTTTGGCACTGAGCCCCTCGTCAGATCACAGGTTGCCCTCTGGTTCGGAGAATGCTGCCACTCTGCGTCCTAGAGCTGGCGCCTCTCTGAAGAGACAGAGGAGTCATTCCCCATCGAGTTTGCCAAAGTCGCATAAGACCATCTGAGTCCACTCCAGGTCCCATAGGGACTAGTCTCCCTCTTCCAGAAGGAGCATGGATCAGCACAGTTGAATGGTGATGCATGGGATGGAGCATCAACCACTCCCCAGCACCATGCAGGGAGGTCAGAGATCCTGTACCTCGATTCCAGTTCTGGCCCCAGTACTGACGAGGGTGATGCCAGCACCAGCTGCTTCCCCGGTGGTGGCGTATCAGGCAGAAGTGGGTGTTCTCTGCCTTTCTGTCCCAACTTCTCTCTTGGTCCAGAACTTTTTCAGGGCTGTGTCCTTTATAGCCCTGTTGGCAGGACAGGCTGCTGAACCTATGGGTCTGTTGGCGATGAACCCCGATGTTTCCCTAACACACTCAATGGAAATGGGGCCAGTACCGGAGCTGGCACAAGGGACCTCCTCAGCACCAAGGTACTTCTTCAGTACCCCCATGGCTGGCACTGCCAATGTTGCTGTGGCAGCAGTCACCACCCTCCACTTTGGCACCATCAGTTACTTGGGTACCGATGCTGACTTCGGTACCCAAGTTCGGTCAACATCGCTCCCAGCACTGGAAACAACGAAGGCATACTCAGTGCCAGCATTACTGTTTCCACCATCAGCAACAGCCCCCTCTTTGTTCTGGGCTACGGAAACGTCAGAATGGCTACTCGCACCCTTAGGGCTGGCCCCACCACAATCCGCCAAAGGCTGGGACTCCTTGGCATCTGAGTCAGGCTCTTACTCTTCCCACTCTCCATCGCCTGAGCGAGGGCCGTTCATGGAACATTATGGAGCACTATGGGTACCAGGACTGGTTCTCCTCTCATGGTTGGGACACAGGCTCTGGCCTGGCACCTACAGGTCACCAATGACTTATCCATAACAGTCGCCTTCATGGAATCCATGGGCCACTCCTCAGTCACAGAGGTCCTACTCCTTATCCTGCTCAAAGCCAAGATCACTGGCCAGGTCTGTAGTTGTGACTGGTGGTCCGCCACAGATTCAGGCACTGGCGAACCTTCCCCTCAAGGAGCCTTGAGAGTCATCCCACCCAGACTCAGTCCTGGAGCAGGATCGGCTCTGGCACAGTTTACACAGTCAAGATGTGGCAGTTTTGCATCAAGGAGAGTATCATGCCGATAGCCAACCACTTGCCTGGGGTTCAGAATCATCTCACAGACCATCTCAGCAGGAATTTTTCCCCAAATCACGTGTGGTCTCTGAAGACAAGCATCCTCCAGACTATCTTCGTAACCAGGGCATTCCGACGATCGACCTGTATGCTAAAAAGGGACAACAGGAAATGTCACCTGTTCTGCTCTTGAGGAGGCCTCAGTCCAAGCTCCCTGTCCTATGCCTTCCATCTCTCAGCTGGCAAGCGGCTCCCTTCTATGCCTTTCCCTTGATCCTAATCATCCCACAGGTCATCCTAAAGCTGAAAGTGGACCGGACTAAACTCATCCTCATTGCCCTGTCATGTCCAAGGTAGTGCTGGTTCTCCAACTTTCTTGTGCTGTCAGTTCAGCCTCCCATCCCTTCCTCTCTATCCCAACCTACTCACTCAGAATCACAGCCCACGTTGCACCCCATGCTCAGCTCCCTGCATCTCACAGCCTGGCTGCTGCATGGCTGAATGAGGATGATGTGCAGTGTTTAGCAACTGTTCAGCAGGTTCTGCGCAACAGTAGGAAGCCCTCTACCAGGATGGTCTATTCGGCAAAATGGAAACAGTTTTCCATGTGGTCATTGACCTGCAGAATTCAACTGAAGCTGGCTTCCATCCAGAACATCTTGGAGTACCTGCTGCACCCTCAATTGTCAGGACTTGTGCTTCGTTCATTGAAAGTGCATCTGGCAGTAATATCGGCATTTTATCCCCCTATTCAGAGGAGATCAGTCTGCTCCAATCCCATGGTAGTAAAATTTTTAATGGGGCTTTTTTGCCTGTATTCTCCGGTCCAAGAGCCAGTTCCTCTGTGGGACCTTAACATGGTCCTAGCGGCACTGATGGGACCTCCATTTGAGCCCCTAGCATCTTGTCCCTTTCCACTATTGTGTCAAAAAGCTCTGTTCCTGGTAGAAATAACATTCACAAGGGAAGCGTGAAACTTGCAGGTTTTGATGGCAGGGCCTTCTTACACACAATTCTCCAAAGTCAAGGTGACTTTATGACACATCCAAATTTTTTGTCTAAACGTGGTTTCTCAATTTCATTTGAACCAGGTGGTATAATTACCTTCGTTCTTTCCTAAGCCACATTCACCTCTGGAGGAGCAGCATCTCCATACATTAGACATCAGGTGATGTCTAGCTTTTTATCTGGACAGAACTAATCTATTTTATGCTTTGTCTCACCTGTTTGTGGCATATGCAGATCATATGAAGTGTCAAGTTGTCTCTTCACAGACAAACTCTAGATGGATAACATTCTGTATCAAGAGTGCATATGAAATAGCTTCAACTTCTCCCCCTCAGCAGGCACAAGCTCATTCAGTGAGAGCACAAGCAATGTCAATAGCATTCCTCAGTGACTTTTCCATATTGGACATTTGTAGGCCTGCTACCTGGTCATCCATCCATCCATTTACAAACCGTTATACCATTACTGATTCTTCTAGGGTGGATGCAACCTTTGGCAGGGTGGTCCTACAACCCTTGTTCGGGCAGACCCTCCGCCCGGCGGGGGGGGGGGGGGGGGGGGGGGGAGGAGGAGAGGGAGTGTACGTACTGCTTGTGAGTCACCTAAGTGGGATATGCGGTTGCATCTACTCAAAGAAGAAGAAACATGAAAAATGTGCATCTACTTAAAGAAACTGTAAGTGTGATTCTCCAAGATGTGATGCAGATATTTGCTGAGAAGCACATTAAGCTTTCATGGGGCCCTGGGCCAGACCAAGTGGGGGCCCCTCCCCACACCTTCCGCCGGCAGTCCCTCCCACCCTCTTGCAAGGGAAATGGGATTGGAGCACGGGGGGCTTGCCCCACTCTGCATGCCCGGCACTCCTGCCACGGAGCGGGGTCGTGGCGTGGGGGCTTCCCGAGCACCCGGCGGGCAAAGGGGGTCAAGCTCCCGCGCCCTGACCCCACTCCCCAACCGGAGCGCCGGGCATGCAGGTGGAGGGGGCAAGCCCCCGCACCTTAACCCCACTCTCCAGCAGGAGCGCCATGTGGGCAGGCGGATGGGGGCAAGCCCCTGCACCCTGGAAAAGTGTATATAAACCTGGACTCTAATTTTAATCACATTTAATTTTCTTTCTTAAAGGTTCTGTGGTTAAAGAGCACCAGCTGCAGCTCTCCAAATCCCTGAAGTAAGCTTTGTTCAGAGAATATGCAAATGACAATGTACTCATGCGAGGACAATACCTTGGTGACTACTGTTATTAGTTTTTCCCGTTAGTTCTAGGCTTTGCTCCACTTTCTTTATTTCTTCCTCCACATTTAAGCCATTCAGGACAGATTTAGTCTGGATGCCATTCTGCATTTCTGGAATAAAGTTGTCCTTATAACAGCCATTAGTGACAATACTTTCCAAATCCTTAGTTGCTGCTGATTCCTGCTTTACATTCTTATAGTCTGTGAAAGAACAAGGAAACCTTGCAAATAAAAAGCCATGTGACTTATGGTACAAAACACATTTCTCCAGATAGTTGACTTTCTGATCTGCTGTGTATATCTTGTATGGTCTGAATCAGATTTAGATTACATTTTTACTTGCAGTTAGGTTCACAAGGTTAGTTCTGTGCCTTTAAAAAAATAAGCTTAAATGCAAAAAAATCCTGAACTTTCATTCTACATAGCAAGCAAAACAGGTATTTTTAAATATAAAAGTAGCAAATCCACTGTAGCCCTCATCAGTTAGTAAAACTAAGAGGATTATTAGTTTTCTCATAGAAAAAAATATTAACAGCTAAGTTCTAAATGCATAGTTTCTCTTGATTTTCATATGAGACCTGTATTTTCCTAAAATCCCCACAAACACACACACACACACACACACACACACACACACACACAAAATGTCCTCACTGAAAAACTTTCCTTTTATCTTTCGTTGAAGAAGAGGAATAAATAGGATTTTTAATTCTATGGTTGTATCCCATGCGCCTACATGCACTCACAGCCACCCACAAGATAAACAGGTCCTAAACATAAAACAGAATAACCATACACAGCACACCTTAGGCCCTCATCTTGTAAGCTATGTGCAGAGACACCCCTAATGAAATTAATGAGGCTCTCTATATATGTAGGGCTCTGCCTGTATGAAACAGGTTTTAGGGTTGTTGTCCTTAGTCCTTCACCTTGTAGTTCAGGTTGAAAGGTGATCCCATTCTTCATATGTATTCTTCCGTGCACTTTGTATAAAACAAAATAAACCTACTGATGTATCTCACACATGACATTCAAGATTTACAGCCATTTAGGGGAGTAATACAGCCCTTTGTGTTTGAAAAGGTATAATAGTTCAGGACTAGAAACTACACCTTTTTCACTTTGTTGTATTTCTTTTTCCTCTTCTTCTTCATGACCCTCTTCCTCTTCCGATTCTGCTCCACTGTCACTGCTCTCAGCTTTACCATTCACAGCCTTTGAATTTGGTGTGGAAGTCATAACATTACCAAGGTCTAAAGACAAATTTTAAAAAGGCAAGAATTTTAGTATTTCTTTTAAAGACACAGTTTAGAATAGTGTTCTTTAATAGCTATTTATAGAATGTTCAGACTAGAACATTTCTCCAATATGCTCAAATTAATTCCACCCTATCTTATTTCATTTTTTAAATTATCATCCTCCTTACTGTCACTCACCACACAACGTCTCTGTGTAACTGCAGATGAATTGCTTCCTCTGAATCAGATCAAAAATAGACTAGGAACTAACTGGCAAAAAACACTATTCTTGCTATGCTGCTAACATCAAAGAAGTGGAAAATATTACCCCGTGCATAGCACTGCAGCAGTAAAGATATAGGGAAGACTGAGATGACCATTCTGTTCTAAGCCTATGCGTCTATATTTCTCTAAAAGTTCCCGTTGGGTTTAAATGTCTCAAGTTTTCTCTCAGCCCAAAAGTGAATTTTGGAAAAAAGTTTAGTAAAACCCCATTCACTCCTATGAGTAGTATAAACGTGAAGAGGATACAGTTTTTCACATTTATTTTGGCATTCTAACACAAATGGCTTATCTTTACTACTTCAGCTCTACTATACAATAAACTTAGACATCAGTGAAATCAATTGGGTATTCTCTTTTAAAAACAACAGGAAAGTCAATTGAGAATATTCTCTCAATTCTAACACACTGGACATATATTAAGACATACATTGATGTCAGGCAATAAAAGTACAAAATAATAAGGGGACAGAGTTACAGTGGGACCCTTAAGCTTTTGAACTTAACATCAAGGCTGAATTCTTGTCTGTTTTAATTGTCAGCCTTATCACTGTATTAGCATAGTTTTTACATTAACTTTGTCAGAATCATGAAGGATTAATTCTTTGAGTTGCATAATATACAATTACATTAGACATCTTAAACCTGCACTAATATTTTCTTTGCTGCAATGTAATTTAGCGTTCAGAATTTTCTACATAAACTAACCTTCAGGTGGGGAGGGAGGGAGGCAGACTGGCTAGCCGCACTCCTATAGTTTCACGAAACTATGGCCTAATTTGATCACTGTCAAGAGTGAGTGAACATATGATCTCTTGCTCCCCATATTCCTATTCAACAAAACTCGCTTGTAAGGAAACCTGTTTTGCAAAATGGAAAGTCCCAGCATTTTCCCAATATATTACTGAGGAATTGTGCCCCATTTACAGTGAAGTACAACTGAGGATATTTTATATTGGGGCAGGGGAGATAGGAAGGCTAATGATGACATTTCTCAGGTCCCCTGCAATGTGAACAGGAGCAAAAGGCAGGGAAACTTTCCTGCTACCACCTTTCCCAGTGAAGTAAAAAGGTGCAACCAAGTACCCTGCCCAGTCATGTAGGATCTAAACAGGGAATACAAGGGTAGGAGGTGGCTCCATGCATCATGTTTTTGCTGAGATCAGGAGAGGGAGAACTAAAATCTGGAACCTTTGACCTATACCAGGATTGCTGTAAAGCCACAACCTCACCATAATGACAGGTTTCAGAGTAGCAGCCGTGTTAGTCTGTATCCGCAAAAAGAACAGGAGTACTTGTGGCACCTTAGAGACTAACTCCAATAAATTTGTTAGTCTCTAAGGTACCACAAGTACTCCTGTTCTTTTAACCTCACCATAAGTGCATTCTATGGTATTTACTCTTTTCTTTTTGTACTGTAGAGGCTTGCCATAATTAAGCATACTCTCTCTTCAGTGAACTCTAACCCCAGCCAGAACAAATACTAAGGAGACCTTAACCACTTGGGATGGGGGTTAATTTGGGCAGTATGTTATCAAAGCTGGAATTAGGGAAGGACACCCAGGTAATAGCTATACTCTTATGAAAAATGCTATGGAATATCTGAATGATCAGGACCTTTGTTTACTTCTCACCCAAAAGGTCACTGCCCATGCTAAGCCAGAATCTTGGCTTGTATCACCATCCCAAAACAGCAGCATAATGGGGTTCCCATTAGGAATGTGCCTACTGTATTACTCTTCCAAAATTGCTTTAGTGTTTTGTATAGCTGACAGAAGAATGTATAGGGCTCAGGAAGTTTGGCAAGACATTGTGCCTTTTTCTTGTACTCGTATACCTTTTCCCCTTTCTTCCCTTCATTACAGTCCTGCTCCCCACTTAAATACTCCCTCCCAATTGTTCTATGCCATTGCCCCTCCTGTAGTTCTTTATGCTGCTCCTGCACTGCTGGTTCACATCCTACTTGACTGATTCTCCTCACCCAACTATAGGTACTATAAGCAGAGTGAGAAGAGGAAAATAAATCAGGAGGAGTTTTGTCACCCAAGCCAGGGGCATTGGAGCAGCATGAAGGGCTACTAATAGTCTGACTGGGGTAATGAGAATGCAAAAGTGGGAGGTGGAAAATTCAAACTTAGCACAAAGTGACCTACAGGTTTAAAAAGCTCTCTGCCACTTCCCCCTCTACTATAAAAGCACATTCCTCAAGAGGTAGCCAGGTCCCTCTTATGGCATGTGAGCCCCGGATGCTGTCCAGTGGCTCTGGCTAGTGGTACTGAATAGCATTATATTCTTCAGTCTATCATGTCCAAAGTTAGTATTGTTACATTGGTGCTGGTACAGGATGTGCACTTGCTCCGCACTCCCATTGGCCAGTTCCTGACCAATGGGAGCTGGGGGAGGGAGGGGACGGTGCCTGCAGGTGAGAGTCGCACACGCACCTCCGCTTAGGAGCCAGACCTGCTGCTGGCCATTTCCAAGGCATAGCGTGGTCCGTGGTGCCAGGACAGGCAGGAAGCCTGCCTCTGCACCCCCACTGACTGGGAGCTGCCCGAGGTAACCATGCCCCAACCCCATACCCTAATCCCCCCAGTTTACACCCCCAGCCAAGAGCCCTGACCCCCTTCTGCACTCCAACCCTCTACCCTAGCCCTGAGCCCCTCCCAAACCCCAAACTCCTCATCCCCAGCTCCACTGTGTCACAGGCATCAACAATTTTCTTCAACTTGGTTGCCAGAAAAAAAAGAAGTTGGAAAACCACTGCCTTATAATATAGTAAATAATCACTCTCCCTCCTTGGTGTTTATACCCTTGAAATCTTTGGAGACTGATCCTGTCCACACTCCTCCTGCACCTGAGGCACACCCAGAGCGGTTCTTATACTACACACAAAAAAGGGACTTATTTGAATTCCAAACAGCTATTTGGTCAATCACATTCATGTCTTTTTAGTCACTGTTTTTGAGCATTCACAAACAGCTTTTTGTTGGTATGAATGCTGTAGGAATGGCTGTTTGTTATACAAATACCTGTACTAATATGCAACAAAGCTATTCAGAGGAGATATCTGAGTCTGTGTCACCTTTCTGCTTTTAGTCTCACCAAGTGCAGAGAATAGGGACACCCACTCCTCCCTTACTTGCGCCATTCCCTCTCATAGAAAGAGCCTTGGACTTTCAGAAATGTCCCCCTCCCCCAATCCCATGGAGGGCAGACTAGCACCAAGTAGGTACCTAAAATCCCTTCTGGGTGGGAAAGATATGATCTGTGTCTGGAGGGTCCACTGCATCCAGATGGGCAGGGGGAGGGGCACAACTGCACTCCATGTTTTGCACCAGAAAAACTAAGGAATGAGGAGGAGGAAGAGAGAGAGCGTAAAGTCTGTTTTAAAGCAACAGAAAACTGGATCTCTGGGTCACCTACAGCCCAGGCACTTCAATCTGTCATGACTGAGTAGCCTGTATCAAAAGTTGTTCCCCCTGCACTAGGTGAACAAAGAGGGAAACAAAAGTCAAATTACACGTTTGTACATGGCTATCCCAGGCTTACTAGCAAAAGGGCTTTTTACAATGCCCAGATTAATCACAGCCTCATGGGTACACAGATGATTTATTTTCCATACATATTTGAGGCCCCGATTAGAATCATGTTTTTGCTTCTACAAAAAGGCTTATGTGCATGAAGCACTTTACCTCATGCTGTCTGGATACATTTCTAACACCAATCAAAGACAGAACTGTTCTTTTCTATTGCCTATTATACATAGACCATTTTACTATTTGGTCTTTGTTGCTGTCCTTCATAAGCACAGCCTTTAGAGAAACCTATGCTTTCACATCATGCTACCAGAGCTAATTAAGTACAAACCTGATCTGTAAACTATAATGCTCTGCACTTACATTATACAGCATATGCACAGGTTCACTAAACCTCCTTTATTAATGTTAGATGAAGGGGCTTTTGACTATCAGCCTCTCTTGTAGTGAGTTGAACAGCTGATTCTAGACAGAGAATCTTGGGCCAGTGACGGATTATTAACAGTGACACTAATTGTTGACTCAGCACACCCTGAAGCAGAAAACAGCCAGGCAACTGAGGCAAGACAGAGGAAAAGATTAGGTTTTTCTTTTAAACTTTTAAATAAGGCAAGAGAAATTTTCCTCTTTGCACTTTCTCCAAAGCCGTTTATTTTAATATTTTAACATATTGTTATAGCACCACAGTGTGAGCAGTGAAATATTCTCTAATACTGCACAAGAGAATTGGCGTGTGTGAGAGAGGGTGGGAGGCTCAGTTTCTTAGGCCTTACTACACTGGAGCCATTGCTGGTTGGTCACCCTTGAAGCTACATCAGTGCAAACTCCTAGTGCAGACAAGCCAAGCTGAGATTTGCACAATTGGTGGCCTAAACTGGGATATACCATTCTGATGTCCACTAATCATGCCTTTAATCCTTTGTTTTGTAATAAGCTCATCCTGCAGAGAGTAACAGCATAATAGTGGAAGGTTTTAATTCACATATTAAATGCTAACTGCCTTCCTACCACTACCCCAGTGACAAAACATACTGAATACAACTCTAAATCATAAGAGGAAACAGGTTTAAGACATCCCTCACACACCAATCCTAAATTTTTATTCCCACTCTGAAGGTGTTACTCTGCTGTGGTGCAGCTTCCCATCCAACCCACTCTGTTAAAGCATCTATAAACTCCATGGTAACACAGGTTGCA